ATATGGAGCTCTGGCCACTGCGACGGCCCACTTCACACCCCCACCATGTCCATCACCTCCCCCAATTCCACCACCTCAGACTTCAGACCATCCCCACCCTCCACACCCATGGACAGTTCAACCCCCCTCCCCACCACCATCACCAAGGATCAGGTGAGCAGAGAGCTGAGGAGGCTTCGTCCAAGGAAAGCAGCAGGCCCGGACAGAGTGTGTCCAAGGATGCTTAAAGCCTGTTCTGCTGAACTGGGGGAGCCACTCCAGCATGTTTTTAACCTGAGCCTGCAGCTGGGGAGGGTCCCAGTGCTCTGGAAGACTTCATATCTCATCCCGGTTCCCAAAACAAAACACCCCAGGGAGCCGGGTGACTTCAGACCAGTAGCACTGACGTCACACATTATGAAGACCTTCGAACGGCTGCTGCTCCATGTCCTCAGACCCCAGATCCACCACGCACAAGATCCACTGCAGTTTGGATACCAGGAGAAGGTGTGCGTGAAGGATGCCATCCTCTATCTGCTCCAAAGGGCCCACTCTCATCTGGACAAGGAGAGCGTCGCTGTGAGAATCGCGTTTTTGGATTTCTCCAGCGCCTTCAACACCATCCGGCCGCTCCTGCTGAGAGACAACCTGACAGAGATGAGGGTGGACCCACTCCTGGTGACATGGATTACGGACTACCTCACGGAGAGAGACCACAGTACGTCAGACTGGAGGGCTGCACGTCAGACACTGTGGTCAACAAAACCGGAGTACCACAGGGGACTGTGCTCTCTCCCGTCCTCTTCACCTTGTATACATCTGACTCCCAGTATAACTCTGGGCTCTGCCACATGCAGAAATACTCGGACGACACTGCGATAGTTGGCTGTATCAAGGATGGAAGGGGGAGTACAGGAGCCTGGTCGAGGACTTTGTGAGGTGGTGCGGGTCCAACCATCTGCAGCTGAACACCTCCACGACCAAGGAGATGGTGGTGGACTTCAGAAGGAAGAAACCAAATTTCCAACCTGTGTCCATTGAGGGGGTCAATGCGGAGGTGGTCAGGACTTATATATCTGGGGCTGCAGCTGGACGACAAGCTGGACTGGAAAGCAAACATGGACACTCTCCACAGGAAAGGGCAGAGCCGTCTGTACTTCCTGGGCTGGGGTCCTTCAACATCTGCAAAAAACTGCTGCAGATGTTTTACCAGTCTGTGGTGGCCAGCGTCCTCTTTTCTGCTGTGTTTGCTGGGGAGGAAGCAGCAAGAGGAGAGATGCCAGTCGACTGGACAGACTGGCGAGGAGAGCTGGCTCAGTAGTGGGCACAGAGCTGGACTTTCTGGTGACAGTGGCAGAAAGAAGGACCCTGGACAGCAGTCCATACTGGACAATGCCCACCACCCTCTACACAACACCTTCACCAGGCAGAGGAGTGTGTTCAATGGCAGACTGCTGTCCCAGTCCAGCTCCACCAACATACTTAAAAACTCTTTCGTCCCCCTGGCCATCAGACTGTACAACAGCTCTCAGTAAAGGCAGGGAGGACAACAGATAACAGACAATGGACAATTTCTAACAGGTTTTTTGCACATCCATTTGCACTGTTTTACTTACTTCCATTTGCACTGTTCACTGTTTGCACCGCATATTTTGGGCTGACGATAGCGGTCCTACAAGACAGATCAAGTGGTTGTCAAAAACATAAAGATCCATCCTCTGGAAACTATATAAAATTTCCTGTAAATGCAGCTGTACGTATTTGGAATACCTTGTCATGGGATAAATCACTGGTCAAATAAAAGTTCAACCTGATCAGAGCTAGAAGAAAGGTCAGATCATGGAAATCCGGTGCAAGACTGCTTCTGTGTGACGGTCATTGTTTCCAGTCTGATTACCAATTTAAGACAGAGGAATGGTAATCTCTATAAACACATATCTGCATATCAGTGTTACATTTCGGTTAGAAGATAGTCCATTGGTTCCAAGACTGGATTTTGGCCAATGCATTCCGCGTCGTTTACTCTCCAGACGGACTGTTTATGCAATTAAAGCATGCGCAAACGTAATTGGTCAATACTACTTGGACTTCAAACGGAAACCAGAACGCTTCTGATACCAAAATCTTTTCCCTTGCCTTCACATATATGTTTATAGACTTTAAGGTTTACCAAGAGCAACTGCAACCAGGCAAATAATCTTACTGCCAACTAGTGGCAAGTACATTCTCTTCCACATTCTATACACCACCACTGGGTCTGGGTCCAAGTACAACTGACACCCAGTTGTGATCACAGGTGTGGCCACGCATTCAATAAACATATCTTTGGACCCAGAGAGGTAATACTTTCTATATAGTAGTTATACTTACTCTTTTAAGAATCATTGTCTAGGAACCATAAATGAGTTGAATGTACAAACTGATGGATCAGTCTACTACTACCAGGGTAAAAGCACTGATGAGCACCAGGGGAGGAAGGAAAATCAAGGTTTTAGTTATTCTGATAGAATCCACTACTATCACTTGCCAACTCACCCTCAACCCATCTCACTACATGTTGTCATTGCAGCAATCCCCTATCTATTCTTCTTTGTACCCTCCATCCTATCACCACACAGTCTCATCCCTACTGAGTGCTCTGCCTCCTCTTATTGTACCTCTCAGCCGCTCCTTTGTTGACACTATGCCTCTGTCTCCCTCGTTTACCCCAACCAGTGCCACAGGCCTCAGCTGTTGGCCGTTAGTATTCCTGCTGCCAAGTCCTGGGACCACAGGGAGCCCTGGCGGCCACACAATCTCTCTCGCACACACACGCACACACGCACACGCACACACACACACACACACACACACACACACACACAAGCAGCCTTCACCTTCCTCATCTGGCATCCCTCAGGCGAAAGCTGATTCTGTGTTTTGTGTGTGTTTGTCGATAAGCACAGCTCCTGCGACAGACTAATAGGCCAGAGATTTTCATTCTTCCTCATTTGATATTTTGGCCATTATTTTCTCCTTCTCATTTCCCTTACAGTAATGTATTTGCACTAATACAAGGTTTGCATTATTGATGAAGCTGCCAGCTTCCTCCTCCCCCAATCTGTCTGGCCAGAGGGATGAAGGGGCAGAGGAGATAGACGGTAGAGGGGAAGGAAGGTTTGAGGGATTTAGGGAATGGGTGGGTAAATGACTGAGGGGTGGATGGATGGATGGATGGATGGATGGATGGAGTGTACAGAAGGCAGGATTGTCAGTTTGTCTGCCCCCCAGGATGCCAGACAGGCCATGTAGGCAGTGTTTACTGAGCATGGATCCAAGCCATATGGTGCCACTTCAGGAGGGGTTCCTAACACACACACACACACACACACACACACACACACACACACACACACACACACACACACACACACACACACACACACACACACACACACACACACACACACACACACACACACACACACACACACACACACACACACACACACACACTTACTAGGCTTTGGCCAGAATAAATGAGACCATTAATGTGCTAAACAACTTTCGTGGTGATCTGTTCTTTGATTTGATCCGTCTTGCATACAAGTAGACATTCTGGCAATAGATGATAGGTCAAGGAAAGAAAAGGTCAGGGGGTCAACTAGTTGTCAAGATATCATGATCTTGGCCAAAGTGTTGGACAGATGGATCGACAGACCATCCAAAGCTACCCCAATTCTGGGGCCAAAAAGTAAGAATCCCATTATCCTGGGATTAGACTGCACAATATTTCTTGTCTTTTGAGAAAATCTGTGTCTTATAATGTGATCATAGAAGCTGGGATACATGGCAGATGACATGTTTAAACCAACATAATCTGCCAATCACAGCTAGCTTTCCTTCACAACTTGCATGACATACATACAGTGGGTGATTGGGAGGAAGGTGACAGGTCTTCCACCTGTCAGCACCAACATTATTCCTCATGTTTACTGTTGTGCATGGAAGAGGGTTCTGTCCTTCTGTCCTTCTAAAGGCCAACATCACAGAACATGTCAGAGAAGTTGTCAAAGTAGACAAATTGTGACATGCTAATACAACCCCGTCTCACTCCCACGCCATCAAATACTGCCACTTGGTCAGTTGCCCTCTGCTTAAAAACATGATGCTGTAAGCAGAGGTGGGAAGTAACAAAGTATAATTACCTTATTACTGTACTTAAGTAGTTCTAAGGTATCTGTACTTCACTTCAGTATGTATTTTTTTTTTTGTAAAAAATACATAAAAGATGTAACGACGCAACAAGACGAAACAGACAAGAGAGGAAGACTGGACCCTGTTTGAAGTTTCAATTAGCTTCGCACAGAAAAAGCTGGTAGACATTTCAGACATAGGCGGCTGTGGCTCAGAGGCAGAGCGTCGTCCTCAATCGGAAGGTGTGGGTTCGACCCGGCCCGGTGCCACATGTCGAGTATCCTGAGCGACCCCCTTGCTCCGATGCCGGGGGTTGAATGTTAGTTCGTCATGGCTTTACCATCACTGAGTGAATGTGGCACTTTAAAGCCTTTGAGTGGTCAGAAGACTAGAAAGGCGCTATACAAGTACAGGTCCATTTACCATTTACATAGCTGTAGGCAACTTTTCACTTTCACCCATGGTACCTCCCTCCCCTGTGTTGTTAGATCAGGAGGAGGAGGATAAGGGAACAAGTTAGACCATATTTAGGTCCCCGCATTCACATTTGATTGGATACATTTATATAACTACACCCAAGTTAAAGACGAGTCATCAAAAATAAGTTAACGTTTTACAGGAAGAGAAACCAGAAGGATTTTGATCTAAAAATGCTGACCCCTGCTTTAAAAGAACCATTAACACAGGGAGACCGGATTTTCATCTTGTTGTGTCTTTAAAGGGTTAGCCATCATGGTATAAATGGTACTCCGCCTTCATATCAGGACTGAAGCACACCGACAGAGGATATTCAACATTACTTACGGATACACAAAAAAAAGAGCATCAGTGTCTGGCCAACTCACCGAAGTCAGCGAGTTTGAGCTCTCCGGTGTCGCTGATGAGCAGGTTTTGTGGTTTCAGGTCGCGGTGAAGGATGTACCTCTGGTGGATGTAGGACAGGCCTCTCAGTAACTGGAACAGGAACAGCTAGAAAACACAAGTGAACAAAGGGAAAGGACTATTTTTACAGAAGTATATTTATGTAGTATATTATGTACAAACAACATGGTGAAGACAAAAATGATAAGGAGGGCAGATTTTTGTATCGCACGCTGGCTAATGAATATCAATACTCCTTTAATAACTCTCTTCTCATTTGTCTCTGCCTTCATCTACATATCTCTGTGGCACATTAAACTGAGCAGCTGCTGGCTGCAAAGATGTGTGTAAAAACCTATCCATCATTAAAGTAGGGCTGTGACTTCATTCCAGTCTAAATGAGAACAGGCGTGAGCCCCACATGTTATTTACAAATAGTTCAATGAAATGCTGTCTCTATCACAAAGTCACAAAAACCAAAATCAATAGGGAGCCATCAGCCAGGAAGAACACAGCCATCATTTCCTTCACTTGGACTATTGAACATTGATCAAACAGATGAGATATCACAACGCCCATCTGATTCCACAGCTGCTGCTTTAACCGTAAATTAAACTGTCTACCCCTGATTCAAAATCACCTCTTCCGTACATAAATTGTGGCTTCTGATATCGATTTTGCTTTGTGTCGAATATATGTTACAGGATTGTTTTAGAGAGTGGAAAAGGTGACAGCAGAAATGCTTCGAGGTGTGACAGATTTTGCTGAAATCACATCAAACATACAGAGTTGGGCGGGGCTGCTGCCTCCTTTTCATTTTCTGTGAAGGGCAGCGAATCAATTGCACAGAGAGGCAGGAGACAGGACTGCTGACAACAGGGGGCAGGAAGGCAGTACAGCAAGAAAAAGTTCAAATCAGCTAACCTTAACCCAGAGGGTAAATGCACACATTTGTCCCTCACCAAAAAATATTAGTTTCCAGAACTGACCCTTTTATGGAAGTTAATGATGGATTCTAGCATTGCGGTTCAGCAGTTTTTGGTCCTGTACTGGACATTATAGAGGAGACTAGCTATCATAACTCAATGCGGTATGTCATTGATTACCATGTCACTGACATTTCCCCCGAGTTGTACCATCTATATAGTAAAAAAAACATACATTTTACTAGGGATGTGCTTCTCCATCACTAAGGCCAATGCAATAGGCATTTTGATGCACTGCCAACAATCTGATACAATAAAAGATACATATGAAGCAACTACCAATGAGATAGAACACAATTCCCCATTGTGATGCAGTGCAGTTCATTTGATTCAACACAATGTGATTCAATGTCATACAATGTAAAATAACATGATGCTATGTAATTCAATATGGTACAGAAAGTTTGATTTTATTTCTTGGGTTTAGAGATGAGGAATCAATCTCGATGTACAATTATTGTTCACATTTCTAAATAACAGTAAGTGAAAATAATGTAAATCTTAATTATTATTACAGACCTTACTAATGAAATACATTTTATAGATGTTTAGATATTAGAAAGGATGCATCCTAAGTTCATCCTGAATTGTATCTGATGCACACTTATTGAATCTTGAATTTACACAACATGCTGGAAGTGGAATTTCAAAGCTGCAATAGGATCAATCTTTTTATATGAAAACTAGATCAAATGAGTATGTGAAATGTGAAAGCAGTCACTTGTAGTGATGAACACAAAAAAAAAATCCCCTGAGCTTTACAGAATGTTTTAGCCTCTTTCAGCTCATTGTTTTGGTTTCTAGTCCGCTTGTTTCCAGCTGTAACAGGGGGGTTTTCAGTGAAAAATCTCTGATAAAGCCACAGTTAGTGACTAATGAACACAGAGGGGCATTTAACATCTAAAGAGACCAAAGCTGAGTTAAAAGGAGAGTAAATACTTTCAGAACACAACTCAAAAAAAGTTTGCCAATATTGCCCCTGTCTGCTTTATATGTAAATGGATTTATTTGACACAAAAACTTTATGAGGGAGAGCGCCCGGTTAGCTCAGTCGGTACAGCGGGTGACCCATATACAGAGTTGTTGCAGCGGCCCAGGTTTGAATCCGACCTGCGGCCCTTTGCTGCGTGTCATCCCCTCTCTCTCCACCCACCCTAGCTGTCTCTATCAATAAAGCCAACCAAAGGACAAAAACAAAACTTAAAAAAAAAAAAAAAAAAAAACTTTATGAGGTGATAAAATGTCAATGTTGTGTTGTTGTAAAATGTGTTTACAACTTCTTGCACTGCCCGGAAGTGGCCAAAAAAATTTATGCAGCTTTAACAACAAGTAAATTAAATCTCCCATGAAATGATACCAGTGCTCTTGGTTTCACATCCATTCACACTCTCTTCCAGCTCGGTAGATGTAATCACTGTTGTCGAAAAAATGTCTGTGCAGCTTGGTACAAAAGCAGTTTTGGTCTTTGTAGGTGATATCCCTGTTTGTGACATCTGTACTGGGGTTAATTTAAAGTTATGCATAATCAAGGGCATGGACGCTTTGACTGATAGGTGGGTTCTGTCACAGGTGGCTGTTTTCAGTAACCAGGGTTCATTCAACCTGCCTCTGCTCCACCTCTTTGCCCACTTCTGGATTGGCCGGGAGCCGGCAGAGTCAGGACTGCCAAGATGGTGACAGCCAGAGCCCACCACACTGAGCTTTACAATGGCTCTTCAGAAACCTATGGGTGACATCACAGAGACTATATCCATTTAATCACACAGTCTATGAACAGAACCCAGAGGTTCCAGTTTCTTAGCTCTTGTCTCTTTGTTGAAATCATCTATTTTAACTCTGGTGTGCTTCAGGCTCATGCATGCTCATGAATGAATATTTCACCTGTAAAAACTGCAGATCAGAAACTACAAACCCTAACTTTATGTAATAATTGAAATATTTTAAAGAAAGCAAGACTAAAGACTGGAGGATTTCACTGAAAAATATAATAACAGCAAATTCATTCATAAAAACACTCATGAAAACGCATGAATGCACTTCTGCTGACATATCATATGAATAAAGATTTAATTGTACTTAAATTTACATTTTTACTGCCAATTATCTTACTGCTGAAATTAAACACACTCCTCCACCTGCCTGCGGAGCTCATAAAGCAAACTGCATCCACAAAATAAATTTAGTTTTTAATATGTGCATACTGCATGAAGTGCTGCTGGCACTATGAGCTTTCAAAAATGAATATCAACAAAATTCTAATATGTACCTGAGGTTGGAGCTACATTAAACTTGTTTTTGTTTGCCGTGGCAGATGTGGCAGCTCTTCACCCCCCCATCCCAAGACGTGTCAATCAACAAATAATGAGGTGTGCACGATCCAGCATTCAATTTTATTCCAATCCTAGCATTCCCCTCTCATTTCACTCCTCTCACTGATACTATAGTCTCGGCCAATTAAGCTGATTGAAGCACCGTGGAGTCCAATCAGGGACGGGCTCTGTCTGGCATCTGGAGTCACCGGGTCAACAGTTTACTATTCCAGCACTCAGTGGGTGAGAGATGAACTGCGGTGCGGCAAATTAGCATGGGAAATGTGTGTTTACTCATGTATATCAAAACACACTTCTGAAAAGCCCTCGCCTTGTTAGGGGTGCAACTGCACGCTGATAAAGAGAGAGAAAAATCACACTTTTTGTTCTCTTCAGTCAGCTCTTCAATTCAAACATCAAAACCTTCCTCTAAAGAAGCTTTCTGTTTGGCTTCGCCTGAAACGGCTCAGTTCCATTTGCATTCCGGTATTTGATGAAAAGTGAAGTGCTGAGAGCAGTTTGTGGAGGCTATTCAGACTGTTTTGACAATAATAATACTCTAAACTGTTCTCAAGATGGCCAATTTTAGAGTTAAATTATGTAGGTCCAGTCAACAACTGGCCATATTTATACCCATGCACACTTGAAATGAAAAGTTGGTAGATGTCTCCGTTCTTCTTCTTACAAGTCAAACAGGCTCAGCATGGTTGCGGGTGAACATTTGGCTTGTTGGCACAGACATCTGCTTACCAGACGAGCTCACCCAACTATAATAAGTGACTATGAGACGTCCATCTGGGTGAATGTATTGAAAGGAACCCTGCAGTTAAAGGTGTGACCGCACATATTAACCATAGAGCGAGCAGGAAAATAAACACACAAGAAATAGCAGGTGACAAAAAGTACCTAAAGGAGAGGTGACGGTGTAAAATAAAATATATAGAAGCAACAAAAGGAGTGGCCCTTTTTTTACTTTCAGCAATTGCCTCCTCCAACAAATGATGGTCGCCTGTGTGAATATGGATGCGATTCATTCTAAGGCCCTGTTTACACCACAATGGTTGTGCTGGAAATGGAAAGGTTTGTCCGTTGTGTTTTTAAAAAGTGTAGTATGCATGCCAGGCCAGTAGATGGTGGTGAACAGGAAGATGGCGAATGCAAGCTCAAAAACAGATCATTTTGTCTGGACTGACAATAAAGTAGGGTTGTTACTCAGAGCGATCCCAGACTATAAGGCCTTAACATTTCAAGAACAATACTGATTGGGAATCATGTCAGTCAAAATACATGGATACTGTGGAGGCATGGCACAAAAATCCCAGTAAAAAAAGTGAAAAGCACATCCAGACCAGGACCGAGTACAGTCTCCGATGCAGCCAAGGAATAAAGTACAGAGATGGTTTTATTGCCGGTTTTTGCTCCTTTCCCCCCGGGGCTAAGTGGACTAGCGTTAGCTGCACAAGCTAACTAGCTAACAGCATCCAACATTACTGTTGGCGACAGTTAGCTTCTTTTAGCAACGAGTTCATCTTGAAACTGTAAATCACCTCTGCCAGAAACACAAGCTCTGGTAGCTAGCCATGCTGTTGCTAGCTTGCTAACTAATGAATCTTCGCTCTGTGTCGCTTAAAGTGAAGATTGATGAACGGGTGAATGGCATGATATTATTGGTTGAAATTGGTTAGTTCATGCTTCGGAAGCATGCGTCGCATAGGGGTACAATATAACTGAAGATGCAATCTTAAAAGGTAAAAAACCAAACATTTTTAAAAACTTTACGTAAAGCTCATGAGACGTTTGTCTGATGCCAGTA